CTACTTGCAGAAGGTGAATTCCTAAGTTAACCTTAGAATTGGCTTCTTAGGAAATACATGGTCACAAAGATTTGCAGCTTTTTGCCAGCTTCTTCTTATTCCTTTCAATTTGGTGACTAGACCCTAAAAATATTTTAAACTCTTTCCTAGGAAAAGAACTCTTGGAATTACAGCTTTCTTTTCATAATAGGCATTCTGACACACTGAGAAGAGGAAAGCATTTGCTTGGGTATTACAAAATATACAAAAAAAAGGAAATGTGCCATATTTACTAAGAACATTTCTAGCTGTTTGACTCATCCTGTCTGGGTACAAATTTGATTTTTTGCCCTATCTACAATTCCTTACCATAGCTCACTAAATTTAATCCCAGTTTAAATGTTTTCTATTATGAAAGGTATCTATTTTTCATTATTTTAAAGTAACCAATTGTGGAGATATATATGCATATATAAATAGCTTATCTTTGTCTTCTACACAAATATTACTAATAGATTCTTGATCATATCAACTTCTTATTACAATGGTTTGTGTCCATATTTTGATGTGGCTTGCAAATAATGATAATTGTTTTGAGAAAAAGAAAAGCCGTCCCTGCCGTCCAGGAGATGGCCTGGTACTATTTTCCAGGACTTGGTGTTCTTCCATTAAATGGACACAGTTTCACAAAACATCAACACTGGACAAGGCTATGCTGTGATCATCACGGACTCAGACAAAAACAAGACCACTGTGTAATCACGTCTGAGCACAGACAAAACATGAAGGATGTCCAAGCCACAAGTTACCAAATATATCTCTATCTTGACTAATATGTATGACTTGTTGCATTTTTACCAATTACAGCTTTAACCTTGATCTAGTCTGCCGTACTTCCAGAAAAGATGTATTTATTGTGATACCCAATCACAGGGTTATCCCCACTTCATGAGAGCATCCCGACCGGCGATGAGCCCTGTTTCCTAAAGCCTTCCCCCAAATTCTTCTAACGCAAGCCGAACTATGGGAGAAGTTCTCTCTAATGCCTTATCACTGAGCCACCTCACAGTTTTCCAGTGGCTTCATTCCCCAGGCAGCCTTCTCTCTCCCTGCAACGACTAATTAACACAAATCAACAACATGTGTGTTCTGGGTAATTTTTGTCTGGAGGACATTGGCAACCTCTTCATATCAAGTTTTTTCCTTATGTTTTATATCTTATTGACCAGATTCTAAAATAACATAGAATAATAATAGTGACAGCAAACATTCCTATTCAAAAGGACTAACATGTTTTGCCATGAAATTAATACTTTGCTCTATTCTAAAGTGTTCCTTTCTCATATTAAGAATAGTTCTATGCTTTAGAAAAAAAAAGCTTGTTTTGAAATTTACACAAAATTAAAATTTTTTTTTGTCTATGGCATCTGAAGGATGGGGCAGGGGAGAAGTCTTGTGGGACCAAGCCCTTAACTTGTGGGATCTGATGCTATCTCCAGGTAGATAGAGGCAGAATCCAGCTGAACTGTAAGACACCCAGCTGGTGTCAGAGAACTGGTTGGTGGTTGTGGGAAACCCCTGAACACACAGTGGAAGTGGTTGTCAGAGTCCCTGTAAGGTGATTGAATGCCTTGTTAAATTTCTGAGATTACAACATGTAGGGCCTATGGCCAGGATCCTCACCTGACCCTAATCGACTTGATGATGTCACTGGCCTGCTGCCAGGCTACTGCTCCCACGCCCATGGGCCACGAGCCCCGATTGTCAGTGTTACTGTATAAAGAGCACCGCCCGAGCTCTGCCTGAAGGCAGAGACAGTTTCTGGACTTGCTGGAGATGCACGTGATTCCCGCGCTTGACCTGCCACCATGAGAACAAGGCTTGGTATAAACCGTTTTACTCCCAACATTCTGTTGTGGTTATTTGGCCTCCCGGAATCCAGAGTGAACTTCCCCAGGGGTCCTACCCCTCGGGCGAGACAAACAGTAAGCCCTCCACCCATCACGGCACTTGTACTGCATCCAGTTAAGCATCGGGTTCGTGATGTTGAACGTCACATAGTTGTCCAGAATGATAAGCTAAATTCCTCGGCTAAGTTATTCTCAGGAGAAGATGGGAAAGGGTATCTGTAGGACACCAGCACTTTATTTTCTGACACCTGCTCTGTGTCAGGTGCTAAGGTAGTTTCTAATTTTTAACATGTTTTCTCATTTCATCATTTTAAAAGTACCATGTGTTGGGTGTGTGCTGTGTTCCAAATGAAGAAATTGAGACTCAGAGAAGTTAAGTAACCTGTCCAATGCCCCATATCTAGCAAATTGAAGAGGAGTTTATAGCCAGATCTCTCTGATTTCCATAATTGTGCTCATTCCTCCACAACCGCCACCCCTCAGAACAAGGGAAAAATATTATTTGGCAAAATAATTGTGTATTTTTGGGTCATTCCTCACTTTACCTACTTTTACTTGTATCTTGATTAATAAATTAAAAACGTTTTCCCTATACTAACATATTGTGGTTTGACAACATAATAAGTCAGTTGCTTTGTGTATTTCCTATGCCAGTCCCCATGGCGGACTTTCTACTTGCAGAAGGTGAATTCCTAAGTTAACCTTAGAATTGGCTTCTTAGGAAATACATGGTCACAAAGATTTGCAGCTTTTTGCCAGCTTCTTCTTATTCCTTTCAATTTGGTGACTAGACCCTAAAAATATTTTAAACTCTTTCCTAGGAAAAGAACTCTTGGAATTACAGCTTTCTTTTCATAATAGGCATTCTGACACACTGAGAAGAGGAAAGCATTTGCTTGGGTATTACAAAATATACAAAAAAAAGGAAATGTGCCATATTTACTAAGAACATTTCTAGCTGTTTGACTCATCCTGTCTGGGTACAAATTTGATTTTTTGCCCTATCTACAATTCCTTACCATAGCTCACTAAATTTAATCCCAGTTTAAATGTTTTCTATTATGAAAGGTATCTATTTTTCATTATTTTAAAGTAACCAATTGTGGAGATATATATGCATATATAAATAGCTTATCTTTGTCTTCTACACAAATATTACTAATAGATTCTTGATCATATCAACTTCTTATTACAATGGTTTGTGTCCATATTTTGATGTGGCTTGCAAATAATGATAATTGTTTTGAGAAAAAGAAAAGCCGTCCCTGCCGTCCAGGAGATGGCCTGGTACTATTTTCCAGGACTTGGTGTTCTTCCATTAAATGGACACAGTTTCACAAAACATCAACACTGGACAAGGCTATGCTGTGATCATCACGGACTCAGACAAAAACAAGACCACTGTGTAATCACGTCTGAGCACAGACAAAACATGAAGGATGTCCAAGCCACAAGTTACCAAATATATCTCTGTCTTGACTAATATGTATGACTTGTTGCATTTTTACCAATTACAGCTTTAACCTTGATCTAGTCTGCCGTACTTCCAGAAAAGATGTATTGATTGTGATACCCAATCACAGGGTTATCCCCACTTCATGAGAGCATCCCGACCGGCGATGAGCCCTGTTTCCTAAAGCCTTCCCCCAAATTCTTCTAACGCAAGCCGAACTATGGGAGAAGTTCTCTCTAATGCCTTATCACTGAGCCACCTCACAGTTTTCCAGTGGCTTCATTCCCCAGGCAGCCTTCTCTCTCCCTGCAACGACTAATTAACACAAATCAACAACATGTGTGTTCTGGGTAATTTTTGTCTGGAGGACATTGGCAACCTCTTCATATCAAGTTTTTTCCTTATGTTTTATATCTTATTGACCAGATTCTAAAATAACATAGAATAATAATAGTGACAGCAAACATTCCTATTCAAAAGGACTAACATGTTTTGCCATGAAATTAATACTTTGCTCTATTCTAAAGTGTTCCTTTCTCATATTAAGAATAGTTCTATGCTTTAGAAAAAAAAAGCTTGTTTTGAAATTTACACAAAATTAAAATTTTTTTTTGTCTATTCACTTTTAAGAAATATTGTAATAGAACATTTATTTTGATAGATTATCCTCCCATGAATTTCTGGGCTACATCCTTTTTGGTTCTGGTAAATCGTTCTTTTAGTGAATTCCAGCTATAATAAATTATATAATGTATTAATTTTATTCATTTAACAAATATCATTTAAATATCCACTAAGTACCAAGTTCTGTCTGAAGTCAGAGATACTGAAATTTAAAAAATCAGAGAAGGGGAGGTGACTGAGGCTATAAAAGGGTAGCATGAGAAATCCATGTAATTATTCTGTATCGACTGCAGTGGTGGTCTATATGTGATTAAAATCTGCATGTGGCTAAATGCCACAGAACAAAGTGCACACATACAGAGATGAGCACATGTAAAACTGGAAACTTTGAGCAGGTTGGCAGATTCTATTGATGCCAGTTCCCTGGCTGTGATGTGTCCTGTGGTACCCAAGTTGCTGCTATTGTTAGGAACTGCATGAAGTGTACACAGGATCGCTACTACTTTTTTTTACAATGGCATGTGACTCTACCGTTATCTTAAAGTAAAAAGGGTTTAAAGGTTGCATAGCCCCTGACTCTATGTAGAATACAATCTAGTAATATAAATTGCTTATAGGGAAATAAGCAAACAGTTGTGTGGTGACTAGTGCAGCCACACAGACAGCATCGGGCGCCATAATTATGCTCATACAACAGTGGAAGCTAGTCTGTACTCATGGGTCAAGAAAGGCCTCCCTGAGGGTGTGACATTTAACATGAAGCCTAAGAAGGAGCTGGAACCTTCCATACAAAAGGGAAGAGAAAGATAGAATTGCCACCTTTCGAGGAAGTGAGTCTCAGCAGAGGAAAGTGGTTATGAGGGAGGTTGAAAGAAGATAATGCTGAAGAAATAGTTTGGAAACAGATCGTACTGGACCTTGGGATTATGGTAACTTTATTATAAAATTAACGGGAAGCCACTAACACTCTAAAAGGCCCTAAAAGGCAGTGATCATTTCAAATTTATATTCTAAACTATTATTCTGACTTTTAGGTGGAGAACAACTTGGTTGGAAAGGATACTCATCAATCAATACGAAGAAAAAAGGAAGCTGTTGTAGGAATCCAGGTTGGTGATGGGGCGCTCAGAATGGGGTGGGGGCCATGAAAATGGGGATAAGTGAATGAATTGAAGTGCTGGACTGATTTGGTAATGACTGGAATGTGAGATGTTGTCGTCGGAGATTGTCCACGTGGGCAATAGAGTGGATGGAGAAGCCACATTCCCAGGTGGCACAGATTAGAGGACGTGCAGATCTGAAGTGGGGTAGGTGACAATTTGGTTCACTTTTAAATCCAAGACAAGATGCCAGAGAGACCTCCAAGTGGGAATTTCACATAGTCAAGCAACAGTTCCCACCTGGAACAAGACGTATGAGCGAGGGATGAAAGTTTTAATTCTTTGGTATACAAATGACATCTAAAGTCAAGAGGGCTTTGTGGTCATTACATGAGGATTATTCATAGCTAGGAAGAAGAAGGGAGAAGGGATGCAAATCTGAGCAAGAGCTCTAGCCAGGCGATAACCGATTTTCTCTACGAAACTATGCATAATGGAAAAGGAGATTTGAGGACGAAGATGAAGGTGTAAAATAGTTGTTGCAAGAAAAGGCAGTGAGTCGCCTAAAAAACAAAAATCAACCTCAGGTTGAAATATTTTTCTAAAGTTTAAAAAAATGGAAATTATCCAAATTTTATCCTGGATGAGAAAACTCAATATTGCAAAAATGTTAATCATCTTCGTATCTATCATTATCTTTGTGGTAATCATAACTATTATTAAAATTACAATTATATTTCACACGTACAGAGGGCTTACTATGTGTCTGGCATTGGGTTAAATGCTCCTGAGACCCAGTCAAAATCACAAGTTCAGGGGGGCTTGCAAAATGACTATAAAGCTTGTCTGAAAAATAAACATGCAAGAATAGCAAAGACAATTCTGGAAAGAATTGAGCAGTGTGGATTAACCAGCTGTAATTGTGGTTTGCAACAATAGAGAGAGTGCAATGGAAAGAGGTCAGAAATAATCACGTTTATGACAGTAACTTTGAAAAAGTTGGGCTTTCCAATCAGTGGGGGAAAGAAACAGGTTGACAACAAAAAGATCTGGGACATCTAGATAGTCATTTGGGCAATAATGAAGCTAGATCTCTACATATTCTTTATCCCCAAATTAGATGAATTGAAGATGCGAATGTCAAAAAATTAAACTATAAAATAACAAAGCTAAATATTTTTATAATAATGCATTAGAAAGACCCTTCAAAATATGGAATAATACTCATCACTGACTTGGCAAACATACACACAAACAATGCCAAAAGACAAATGTTAAACTGGGGAAAATATTCTCAATGTTTAGGATGAGAGGTTGAGCTCTAATCAATTAAAAACATGGACAGCTACAGTTTTAATAAGGGAGATATCTCAGAGTAAAAGAAATACACAGCTAATAAACATGTGGAAAAGATGCCCAAGTTTTGTCATAAATTTAAAAAAACAAAAATCCAAACAACCAAGTGGCATTACTTTTTACTTATCAGATTAGTGAATCTAATGAACATATTATTTTCAAGTACCTAGTCTGTGCTGCATGTTTTTAGTATTTTCTTGTGAGTTTATTTTCTGTAACAGACTGCTAATTTTTAATAATATAATCAGATGCCTCTAAAGAGCTAGATAATGCTGCAAATATCAGGGGTTTTCTTAACTCAAACTTCCAGCAATCTTATCTCTATGCTTAATTTGATGAACCCATTTTCACAGAATGCACCATCTTCCAAAGCAATATTTTTTTTTCAAATGCTCACTAAATCAGTTCCCTCTTGTTTAATTACAATTTTGTTGAATAGACAGTATTTCTGAGGGTGCTAAGTTAACTCGGGAATGAGGGGGGCAAACAAAACCACAGTCACAGCCCCCTGACTTTCCTCTTTCACCTGCCAGAGGAGAAGAACACAGCTGAGGAGGCTTCTATTTCTTCATTTCTTCATCTCTTCATTCTTGCCTTCAGCGAACATTTGCTGGGTATCTCCTCTCTGCCAGGCACAGAGCCGGGGGCTAGGGATGCTGTGACGGACGAGAGAGAGGGAAGCCCTCTGCGCCGATGTTACCATCTAAGGGGGCTGCAGGGAAGGAACCCTGGATGAAAATACTTTGTCTCAAGAACTTGGCATTTGTGTTAAGGAACTGAAATGCCCCCTCGCCTCCATTCTTGCTGTCCAGGGGCTGTGTAGTGCCGCGTGACGTGTTACTTCTGTGACTGTACTGGATACTCACGCGGAAGTGGTTGAGAAACCTTTTATAGAGTATGTTTCTAAATAACATGTGATGCCTAATTGCAGCGAGGTCATGGGATTCCTCCAAATTAATAAGACAAAACTTCTTGGCAACACAGGAGAGATTTTCCAGGTCTAAATGAATCATTAGGAATGAGTAAATCACAGACAAAACAGATCTTTTACAATTAAGAGGATAAAGATGTATGTTAAGAAGCATCGTAAATCTCAGAATAACCCCCAAATGTGTTCATTTGTCTTTGTCAACAAATGCTGGGAAGAACTAAAAGAAACAGTCAAACATGTAATTCCAAATAGTCTATGCTTTTAAAAACCCACAAAGTTAATATATACCTTCTTAGGAAAAAATGAACAAACTCATATACTAAAGAACTGAAATAATTTCACAAGTTACCTTTGTATCTTTGAACTTGGATGAAAAAAGCTTACATATTTACTTTTACTAACCTTTAATTGGAACTTAATATTTCAAATATAGATGCAAGCAAGCAAACACTGGAAATATTACCTTTGTCATTAATGGAAATCACAGATGTTTTTGTATTTTATCACAATTGTGACAGCTACTCAAAGTAACATTTCTATTTCACAAACTTTTAAGTTCCTGTTGGTATTAGACCTACCTTTAGTTCTTATTTAATGCATTGATTATTAATCACAAATTTGTTTTTTTTTTTAATATCTGGATAACTGGATGCCTGCAACTGATTTGCCTATAGTATTTGGTCTCTTATGTATTTAAAATGTATTATTCTGAGAAGGTCCTCCAAGGGCTTCCCCAGAGTGTCACAAAGGTCCACGGCACAAAAGGTTAAGAACCCCTCGCACTGTTTGGTCCTTATAGCCTGTCTGCAGATGTCACCCCCAAATACAAAAAGGAACGTTTGCATCACTTGCAGAAGAAACACAACAGCACAACCGACTTTCACAATGAGTCTGGTTCCAAAGCCCATGCTCTTAACCAGAACCTACACCTCCCACGGAAATTTCCAGGTGACCAGCAGAGATCATAATAGTCAAGATACTGATGACTATCAATAATATTTGTGTGAATCTAAACACATGTCCCTTGTGCAAGGACTATGCAACAACCCACTTAACAAGCGTTGCCCGTGGCAATCTTAACGTTAAGAGTACGAACAAGAAGACATAAACTAAATAAAGAGAGTGGGCGCTGGGCAATACCCATTGCTGAGAGGGCGTGCAGGCCTCAGAGACCCAGAGAAAGAACCGTCAGAGGCGAGAGGAGCCCAGGGTGGACGACCTGACACTAGGAGGGGTGACAGGGTGGCAGCTGTGAGACTTGCTTTGTGCTCAGTTGGTGACTTTGGCTGCCTTTTCTACTTCTGATTTTCTTTCTTTCTTCTATCTCCATTTAGTTTCTAATTCAGATTTCTGTTCTGTTTCATATACTTTTTAAGCTTGAAATAGACATGAATATGTCAGCTTATAGCAGATAAAATTCAGGCTCATCCATCTATTTAAGCTTTCATTGTTTTCTTTTCGGCTGAGCTATGCTTGACATAGAACATTCTGTTAGTTTCAGTTGTATAGTGTAATGATTCAACATTTGTCTATATTGCTGAAATTTTTCCTGCTGATTATAGGTTTGTTGGGGTAGAAGAGATTATAAAGCATACTTCCCAAGCTATTTGAAGAGACAGGAAAGGTTGGCTAAGACTTGCTCAGCAGTAGAAACTTGGGCTTCCAGAAAAAGTCTCCTTCTAAGGTGATATGAAACTTCTGCTTCCAAGGCATCGTAAGTTTCCGCAATCATGCTAACATAAATAATTCACCCATTGTAAGACGTGGAGATCTGGGCTTTATTCCTACGCTGTTCTTTCGTTTTATATTCCACTATCAGTGTATAGTTGAAGCCATATAGTCATGAAGTCCTTTTGGTGGACTCAACAAGGAGAGACTGAAAGAGCAGCTTGTACCGAGCACTCACTATGTATCAAGCACAATGCATACTTTTTTACGCGTATCTCATTAATCATCACAACAGCTCTATGAAATAGGTATTTTGACCCCCCTTCAATAAGCAAATGGAATTTAATAAAGCTGAATAATTTGTCAAAAAGAAAACACAGCCAGAAAGGGGCAGTTTGAGGATTTGAATGATGGTCAATGAGACTGTAGGAACCCCGTTTACTCACATATGTCGCCCCAGTTACCTAGTGTGTTAACTATGATGCAGGATATCAACTTCACACATGAAAACTGCCTCCCTCTGCCGCCAGATCACAAAGTAGCTTATATTCATTATCGCCGAATTTCACAAACCTACATGAGGTTAAAATCATTATCAATTTTAACTTTATTAATAATGCCATAATGCTTGCTAAAACTGCCAAGAATCTGTGGCCGTATAACAAATGCTATGTCAAAGGTTAAGCAAAAATTAGAAAGTGAATGATTTAACTAAAAAGAACATGCTGAATCTTAGATTTCTCTGGATAAGAATAAAGTGGTTCCGGTAGACTCAGAACTTGTCATTTGTCAAAGTCCAGAGGAGAGAAGGTGTTATCTTTTTCTGCCAAGGTCCAGGTTCACCAGACAGGGCGAATTGCAGAAAAAGTCAAGAGGTTATCTCCCCAAATGTTAAAAGAGCCTCAATAGTCAAGGAATGGCGCTTTGGATGAGATTCTTAAAGATCTTATCATCGGCCTAATGGTTTTAAAAGTGAAGTTGGTGTTTCTATTTAGCAGCCATGAATCAGACCGTAAGTGACTGCTCCAAATTGTAGTTGGCATGGGTATTAACC